AAGAAGAAGAAGAAGAAGAAGAAGAAGAAGAAGAAGAAGAAGAAGAAGAAGAAGAAGAAGAAGAAGAAGGAAAAAAATACCACTTTCCCAAAAACAGAATTTGCTGCAAGCATGGCATTCCCAGCTATTCACCGTTAGCAGTCATGGCTATTTGTTGAACAACGCTTTTTAAACAAAAAAACACACAGGATAAACCGAAAAAAATCCGGCAGTCCCGCAGGTTTCGGTTTAAGGGGACTCCCCTGTAGATATAGATAATCTGCGGCATGGGCTGGGTGCGTTTTTCCCCCGCACCTTCCAACATGAGATTTAAGAGCAGCACATGTATGCACATTTTTACTTAACTGGGACGAAAAGAAAAAAAATCCAAACCCCAAACGCCCAAACACAACCTTTCCCAGCCCCCCAAACAGACGCCTGGTATAATAATATGTTACCTTCTTCTGAATGCCCGCCTCCCTGTCCTCCTGGGAGATGCCCCCATCCAGCAGGCTGCCCACCTCCCGGGACAGAGAGGCCTGGATGGAGGATAGGAGACGCCTCAGCTCCTCCGTGGTGGTCGCGCTCGTCGTCCTGGCTGGGAGATCCTCACCTCCCGTAAGGGGGAACACGGGCGTCTGCTGCTGGCTGCTGCACACGGGACTCAGCGCTTCCAGCGTGCCGGTGGTGGCGGATTCCTCGAGGGGGGATTAGAGAGGTTGGGAACGTACTCCAATTACGACGTAGACGGCATCGACCGACGATAAAGACGTCCTAGTCAAAGAGGAGTTGCCGGCGATTCTGGTGAGTCCTCGGTTGCATGCAGAGCGCGTAGCTCGTCGTCAAACTCCAGGGGAGGCACACGAGGCAGTTCGCGGCAAGGTTCTGTGTACCGACAATACGCCGTGTGCTGCCCGTAGAACCCAGTGATGACAAAAAGCGCAAAGACACCGCAGCAGATCCTCAGCAGTTTACGAACTCAAGAGGCAATTAAAGGAAATTTCGCATTTTCTCTTGTCAAAAAAGATATCCAGGATACTCAAAGCAGAGCTGGAAAACGACGGGAAGCACTCTACTACAAACACAAAACTGTCCTTGACCATGTTCAAACGAAGCACAAGCGGTTTTATAAGTCAATTTAACGCCCATTTCAAAACAATATAAGACATACAAGATACGTGACCCTCACCTAAACGTCTGTATCCGAAGGGAAGCGGCACAAGAAGGGTCGTTTCAAAGGATCAGCTACTAGACCTGCGCCATGACTTGGCAAACACGCCAATGGCGCTAAACGTCGAACGTTTCCAGAAACACCTCTCTTGACGAATGTTTATCGGATACGGAACAGCAAGAATATAATAAGCCAGTTAAAAGCACAAACTCCATCAGGCGTCCCCTAGTGCCGCCGTGGGTAATCCAGAAGGTGTGATACAATACTTGAGCAACCGAGGGACAGATGGGGCAGTCATATCATTAGTCTTACACGTGCGTTCAAAACATTCTGCACACGGACAAGTATACAACCTCTACTTCAGAAAAATCTTTTAGAAAGAACCGCGAGCGTTTTCAGTCTTCTGAAATTCGAATCATCGCCTGTATTTCAGAAAAGTAAAACCGGACAAATAATCACGTTTTTTTTTAAGTTAGCGTTTTACGGCACTTGCAACATAATAAGGTCATATATAATCAATGTTTGATAAACTTATCTTATTTTCAATTGCTTAACCAGCACGTACTAAAATAGAACTATTTGTTTGTTTAAGAAATTTAATACAAACCTAAACAGAATTCGTTACTGCTAAAAGAAACACAACTTTGATAAAACAACAACAAACAAGCAAAAAAAAAAAAAAAAAGGACACGGAAACATGAAGGCGCTCCCCGTCTTTCACAGAACAACGACAGAGGATCTGACATACAGTATACTGAAGGCCCTTTTCCACGTCCAGACTGACAAAACAGACAGGAAAGCGAACAGATCTTTGGGTGTGTGTGTGTGTTGTTTTTTTTAAAGAGTAAAGCGAAACACATCGATACAATAACGGCCATTATTTAGTGCGCCGGACAGCGTTAGGGGTACTCAAAAAAAAAAAGATGAAAAGAAAAGAAACACAACCTACCTACCAGCCAAACCACCCACCAACCACCCACCGAATTGTTTCAGTCTTAGTAAGAGTAGTATGGCATTTGCAACACGATAAGGTCATATAAATGCCGAAGAATAGAAGGGTTATAAGGGAGTAACAGACACAAAAACAAGGAGAGGACAGGAGATAAAGACGACAGCTGTTTGATCGGAAAGAAGGAGTAAACCACACCAGAGCAACCGCCAACCACCCACCGAATTGATCTACTAAGTAGAGAAACAGACAACCACAATCAAGGCCTACATTTGTACCAAGATATAAAGAGCACTATTTTACCCCTTCACAACAATTATATATACATGATAAAAGGATGATTTCCGTAGAAGACTGGCATTTCTTTTCATTCATAACGAGCGTACCAGTGACGCACGAGAAAATAATTACACACTACGACATTAATTTATCTCTGAAAAAAAACAACAACTCACACCAATCAAGAACGACAAAACAGCCGCTCCTTGCCTGATCAAAACAACGATAATCACTCGCCCTCAGAGTGAAAATGAATGTTACTAAACAACCCATCCCAGTTTTATTTCCGCAATTTAATTCATCCTCACAACGTGGAAGAAAAAGGGCTCGATGAGAGTTTCAGGTCACAGCTCCAGTTACAATAATATAGTAGCGACTGGAATTTAGAGCGCTCAAAGAGGATATAATATTTATGAGCAGTATTTCATCCACCCGCCCCCCCT